ACAAAGTCTCTCATCGTGTAACCGTGTGCCTTATAGAGTAAATACATAGCACAGTATTGTCCACATACATCGGAGTCAAAGGCTTGCAAATCGATAGTGTTCTTGGTCCAAACTTTACATTGTCGATCCAAAAATTTCCTTATGGAGGGAACGTAAGGTCCAAGCCCGTATGAGCAGAAATGTTCACCTCGTCCGTCGCATCCTATGTACATGGCTTGCCAGTGTGCGCCTGGTTTCGCGATAGGGTCTGTGTTCACAATGATGAGTGCTGGTTTTTTGTTTATTTTAAAGGGGAGTGTGTCCGAGGCGTAAACCCCTTCAAAAATAGCTGAGGCATGTGGGTCCTTTCGAAGAACCATTTCCAAAGTCTTTCCGTCCATCTCAGATATTGTAGTCAACTACCACGTTGCGATTTTTATCGATTTCTACGAGATTGTTGAATTCAGAAAACACGATACAATTCACAGCATTCGGGAGAGGTGCTGCAAACCTCAACTCCAATCGAACAGTTCCTTGCTTTTGCAAATTCCAGTGATTTTCGTTTGCAGACAAATCTTGTGAGATATCAAAGGCGTATAAAGTGTACCCTTTAGGGTAATCGGCGTATGTAATATCGTTCCCCTCGTCTTTCCAGTGTATACCTGTTCCAGTGAAGAGAGTGTTGTACGACTCAACATACAGGTTTTTCCCAAAATCTGGAGTGAGTGGTTGTGCAGGGATTTGTTGTGAGTCCAAATACAGAGACAGATAGTTTAGATTAAAGTGTTGAAAATTAAAAGGATTCAAACCATAATCCCCATTAAATGCTTGATTAGCAATTAATCCTAGAATGATTCTTTTAGGAATTTGTCCGAGATGAAGGTTGGCTATAGTTTTGTCCTGTATGCCCTGGGGAATTGTGAATGTTTTCAGGTCAACTCTTGTGAGAGGATATTTAGCTGTGGACACTTCAAGCGCAGCGGCATGCGCTAGGAGTACTGAAGGTGAGACTCGTACTTTTCGTACATACAAGGTTGCGTCTAGGATAACCAGTTTTTCGGTACCCTTTGTTGACATAAGCACGAAGGCATCTCGACTACGTGTGAGCTTAATCCGCAGTTCTACGTTATTTAAGAGAAATCTGTCTTGGTTAAAGAAGTCAGAGTGCAAGGGCCCCATCAGCTCAAAAACTCTGCTGTTTTTGGTGAGTTCGCGACGTTTCGCGAGTCCTGCATTTTCTTTCATATCGTCCATATGTCCTGCCGTGTCTTTGTAATACCCACGCATGGCCAAGTGTGTTGCTTTTGCAGGTGAATCATAATTAAGAACTGCCTCAAAAATGCTTCGATAGGGGTACGTCATTGCAGATTGTGATAGTAGTGTTTGGTTCGCCTCAACATCTAATTGACAAAAGGCTGAATTAAGAGCATAATTAACGACTGTTGCATCACTTCCATCTTCATCCTTAATATCAGAGTTATCCCCATTCACGATTTTAGCTTTCACTTTGAGTAGCGTGTGTGCGGGGTCCATGTATTCGTGTCCGGTACCAGGTACACAAAATTGTATCGTGTTGGATTGATCCAGTGAATTGACAGGCTTGTAAGGGGTCCATTGTCCCCCTTCCAATACAATTTGAGTTGACGGTAGATTCCACAGATCTAGTTCAGAACGTAGGGCTTCTTGAGATGCAGTGTGTAAGAACGACATTTTTTTAAAATATGTAGTTTTCGGTGTCAAGGCGAAGTTTTTTCTTTGGGGTAGACCGTCCTGTGTCAGCACTACGTGTAGACTGATCGTTGTTACGACTTCTCCTTCGTTTTATACCATTTCCTTGCATTCTTTTTGTGAGATTTCGGCCGGCTTCTTCAAAATGTTGGCGCACGCTATTTTTGAGAGGAACCTCTCCAGACACAGCATCGGCCAAAATATGACTTCCAGCTCGCAAGGCTTCGCGGCCAACAACTTCAGCTCCTTGCTTAACGAAAGGTAGAATGCTTCGGAAAAGCCCACCTAGGAAACTACCGATTCCTGCCCCCTTTTGTGTGTTTGCCCCTGCAAAGTAATTCATTCCAGACCCCGTCTGGGCTTGTTTAACGTAGTAATCTGTGATAGCTGACATGTTGATTACGGCCGCTGTCTAAAATGGCACAGTAGCGTTGACGTTCCGTGATCAAATGGCATAAAAGCACCCGCGTGCGTCCTTATATTCACTTCCAAAGTGTCGAATGACTTTGTT